ATTATGCACGCTGACATTTTTCAAAGTATTGATTGGTGATCAGCTGTCATCTTTAAATTAAAAATCAGCCCATCCATATAAAAATAGTAAGTTAATAAAAGTAGTAGTATTCAAACAAGGAAGCACCATGGAATCACATCACATAACTGTATTATCCATTTCAGTTCAATCCAAAACTCAGACATGCCCAGATGATGAAATAAGGTCAAGGGCTGGTCAGGAGTTTTGGGAGAGGAGGGGTGGTGTGAATGGGTTTGAAGGGAAACGGGAGTGAACTGGGAAGGAAACAGTCCATGGGGAAAATGGCCTAATGGTGGTGCAGAGGGAGAACATTAAGGGAAATCATGCAGCGCATGTGGGAAAGCAGCTGTTGAGGCAAGGGTATAAGCCACCTTGTATGTGATCCTGTGATCATTACTCAGGCAAAACTCTCAGTGAAGCCAACTGAAGTTTAATCTGAATAAACACAGTGGTATTAGTCTCACCCTGTGTAGATTGTATATAGCTGTAGGACTTGGTGGTGTGTAAGTGACTTTGTTGGCCTTTTTTAGCTAGAGCATTCTAAATATCCACTTTTGTTACTAACATGTGAAAAGCCCAGAATGATATTGTACCTGCCAACATCCTGCAACAAAAAAGCAGTAGATTGTTCATTTGCTTAATTGTTCATATATTTGCATAAAATCAGGCAGAACCCATTATAAGAATGAGCATGCCCATTTTAAAGTTATACTATAATAAGGTGCCAGTGTGGGGAGATAACTGCATGCATTTTGGGGGTATCTAGATTGCTTATCCTAGGTGCCATACATGCGAGTTGAGGAAATAAATACATTTCCAACAATATTTCTATTCCCCTTTTCATGATGACAAGTCTTAAGAGGCCAATTTCAAACTTGAATAGGATGAAATAGGAAATCTGACAAACATGGATATTAAAAATAGAAAAAGGAAAATGTTTTCTTAGAGTAAATGCCTTGTCAGAGTCTCTGGTGAATCTGGATTTGGATAATCTACATCATGAGAGAAGCAAGGGGAACAGAAGATTACTTTTAAATATTTTAGAGCCAGAGCTATGGTTCTGCACATGCAAAAACCACTCTCAGCTTTCAAATAATAGCTACCTCTCTTCCCCACTGAGCCAAGAACCAACTAAAGCAGTAGACTGGTCAGGTTTCCCCCTAGATCAGAAAGAAGGGCTGACAGGTAGTACTCTACCTAAAGTACCTAATCTTTGTTTTCACACAGTCCCCATCAGTGCAGAATCTGAAGGCCCAGGAAAAGCAGCAGATCTGGCAGGTCTAATTAGGGTGACCAGATGTCCCGATTTTATAGGGACAGTCCCGATATTCAGGGCTTTTTCTTATATAGGCGCCTATTACCCCCCACCTCCTGTCCCGATTTTTCACATTTGCTATCTGGTCACCCTAGGTCTAATCATTCTCCAGACACTTGGCTAAAACAGCAATCAGTGGCATGCCGACAACTCGGGCCAAGAGTGTTTCTTCTGGGTCTGAGTATTGTGGGGATCTTTCATGCGTGAATCTCACCCCTCCTGCATGGGGGACGAATGGGGGAGGAGGTCATGCACTGTCATATCAACTTCTCTCTTCATTTCTTGGACCCCAGTTAAGATTCTTTGCAGGGCTGGGATTAGGGTGGGAGGAACTGGGCAGGCATGGCTAGCAATGGGCAGTCTATGACAGGGTGGGGACAGGCCTTAAGCTGTATTACCTTTTCTGCTGGACCCCTCCACTTGAGAGAATTCCCGCTTTAAGGAGCATCCTTAAACAGCAGTGCCGGGTAGGAGGAGTTAGGGCCTCTGCACAGACAGCCCCAGCCTCCTGTGAGTCCTGGGGCAGAACTCAGCATTCCAGGGCAAAGGTTGGGGGAAGGTTTAAATTCCTCCCTATCCACCCCTTCCCCCACAGAATGATGAGGAAGAAATGCAAGGAGGAAATCTTCACACAACATTCCTCCTCACTGACTCCCTCCCCTGCAGCAGCAGGTATGTGAGCAAGAGGGGGGGACCTGATGACATGCAAAACTGTGGGTTATTGTGAATTATTACATTAGATACATTGCCTATTTTCTCAAACTAATTACAGTTTACAAGGGGGACACTTTTAATAAATAGGCTGGTTTGCTCAGTCATAGGTACCAGTTCTAGAACTGTAGGGCATTCGCAATGTTCAAATATACCCAGCTTTTAACATGAAGATGCTAATGCAAAATAGCCCTGAGCAATTACCAAAAGAAAAAAGGAAGAATTATTTTAGAATTATTTGTATGTAGGTAATCCTAATAAAAAGACCCAACACTGTTTAATTAATACTATGACAGATCCTACAGACATCACTAGACAAGCTCATTTAATGGCTTGTGATTTAATTCAGAGGCACCACCTGCTTTTTCTCTAATCTCTCTAAGGTTTTAATATACCATCTATTCCTGTGGTAAGCAAGCACTACACAAAAGCCCAGAACTAAAAGGTGTTTTTCTCATTCCATTACACTTGGGCAGAAAAGTATGAACTTGTGTGAGGGGGACTTTTTTTTTAAAGAGCATTGATTGATTCTTGCCGACAGGTAGTAACAACAAGCTGAGTAATTGCAGCAAAGTCGTTTTTGCTAATGCCTTTTCTAAAGACGTTTGTAACTTGATTAATACAATTAATTTGGACCTAAACTTGGCATGCCAGGCCTCAGTCTGAAAATGAATTACTTTACAAATTTGACACTAGTATGTTTGGGCATTTCTAATTTTTAGAAGTGACAAACAAATGACCAAAAAAAACTCAAAAATTCATGTGACCAATTGTGGTTAATTTTGCCGTATTGACCTCTTTACTTGCACTCTGCCCAGATTTATGGTCTGTTATATCTCACCTCCTATTTTTTGTCTATATGTTATCTTCTAGATAAATAAACCCTTTATGACATGGACTGTGCGCTTTGGCTAAGCCGGTAAGCTGTAGAGCACCAACCATGCTGCTGGCCAAATAGAAATGATGTGATAACATGTTAAAATCTGTAGGAAAGGGCTCTATGGGAGGAAATCTCTGCAAGGATCTTCTCACAGAATCATTTCCCACTAGCCTCAATTATCTCATCAGTGGGGAGGAAGATAGGTTTTACTGTCTCTCTTTCCCTATGGAACAGGGTGCAGAGCCCTTCCTCAAACCTACCAGATCCCCACTCGAGTGGCCAGGCCCATTTCAATGGAGGCCTCGTGTCTTGGCACCAGCTCTAGCCCATGGTGGAGATCCAGCTTCCATTGAAGCCCCACTACCAGAGATTCCACTGGCTTCAGCAGCCCCTGGAGTGGGGCCTATGTAGAAAAGGTAATACCACCTCGAGCTATATTTGCTTTCACAAGCTAGGTCTATTGGGAAGGAGATGAGTCAGTGATAGTCCTGCCCAGCTCTATCTAATCTCCATCCTTTGCCCCTGCATGGACCCTGGACAGCATGGAGTGCCCTCTGCAAGGTGTGGAAGACATGAGATGGTGCCATTGAAATGAGCCCTTTATTCGACACAGCAATGGGGAGAGCCACATCTGGCCCAATGGATGTCAAATTTTCCAGTGGGATGCCTCAGTGTTTCTAGTCAATGTTGATGTCAAGATATTGGTTTCAGATCATTAATCTGTCTCTATGCCAGAACTGGACATAGAAAGTAGAATGTTTAGGTCCTTCTTTCCTTGATCAGTATTTGGGAGGGAAGGAGAAAACCTTATTGTGCCATGTTCTTCTTAGAAAGACAGGCAGCTGTTGAAAGCTTCTCTGGAGTTGGGGATGTTAGAAGTAGCCCCAGTGGAAATGGAGTGGTGGGCAGAGTACCGGCAAAGAGATCAAAGCTGTGAAATAAATACACAATTTATTGGTTACAGAAATACAATTGATCTGTAGCTATCATAAGTGTTATTTAGATTTTGCCTGTATCTTTAAAAGCAGGGAGAAAAATCAGATGGAAATTAACTACAAAAAAACTATGTTAATGTAAAATGAATGCTGAAAATGTAAACACACAAAAAGTTAAATCTCCCATAACAACATCAACACTTTCACATCACACATATTATATGGGAAGGTAACATCCAAAGTAATAATCAGAAGTAATGTGTATGTAAGAACCTTAACTGGGCTACTTCTTGACTTCTGTGTTGTTGCATTTGGAACCTTAGGCCCAAATTATGGCTACGTTGTGCAGGTGCACCAGATGGGGGAGTGGGCCCAAGAAGCCCTTTCCCTCATGCACACCCAGCAAAGAAGGTAGCCATTATATAACTGCAGGGAAATGAGAGGCAGGGACCAGCTAGCAATGCAGGCAGAGCTAATGGCTTTACAGAAAGATTTGTCTGTTTGGGGCAGGACGTAACAGCAGAGCAGTTTTTCAAAGGCACAGAAAAAGCAGTTCTCAAAATGTTCTCACCACTGCTGGTGAAGGCATATAATGCCACCAGCCACCACCACTTGGGTGGTGTGCTGCCTCCTCCAGTGTACCACTGCCTCACAGGAGGCATAATTTTACTCTTAACATTGTATTAACCTAAGTATTTGCATTCAGCATTTTATGAGAGTCTTATATGGATCCTACACTCTTCCATTCCCAATTATTTTCCTATGTGCAGATGGTGGGACTGGCATGCACCTTTGCCACCCCAACACTTTACCAGTCAGGGGCTCATTGTGCACACTTATCAGAACTGTACAATGTGCTTTATGAAATGTACATTTAATCCAACACAAAATTTCATCCATCAAGGACTGCAGCCCATGGTTGTAATGCCCTTTGGCTGCCATACCCCCAGTATCCGCCATAGGAAGTTAAGGCAGCCCCCTGCTAAGATGAAGCCATGACTTTTCCCTCCTGTGGCTTTATATGCAGAAAGATATGATTTCTGCACCTAAACCACTCATGTATCATTGTATGTGCTCTCAAACAACTGACATATTCCACGAACAATGCCTTGTAGTAGTTGGTAGACAGCATGTATATAGAGTTGTAACCAGTTTGTGAAGTATGCAAGGGGCTTTGAGATTAATTATTACTCTACCAATATCTGAAATACAGTTTACTTGGTTATTTTCTTATCATCAAAGGTGAGTTAAAAAATACTACTACAGTACTTACAAATTGTACCTCTTCTGGTTTATATAAAACTATAGTTTTTTTTTTTAACTTGCCTTTTCTTATAAGACATATCCTTGGAGAACAGTCCATTCACTACGTTGTTAGACTTCAGAGTTGAGGGAGAAACTTCTTAAAGGGAGATCCTGTCTGTAGGCATCATTTAATCTGAAATCAGAATTGTTTTATTGGCACAAACTGATGGTTTATCTAGTCCAGTATCTAATCTCCAGCACTTAAAAATGCCTAATGCTTCAAAGGATGATACAATGCCCAATAATACAGCTAATTGTGCAACACTGAACCATTAAGGGAGATTTCTTCTCAATCAGTTTATGGCATGAAGACTGACAGTGGTGGACTTTGTAATTGTATCCTTGCTACTGAAATATCAGATGTTATGACTTATATGTAATTTTAAAACATATTTTTAAACTAAGTTGTTTTCTTCAATAACATGACAGCAACAAATTCCATAGTTTGGACTTCACATTGAAAAAATATTCATTTTTATCTAGTTTTAAATTCAAAGACTTATTTCATCAAAGGTGCTCTTTTACTTAAATCATATGAATAGGTAAACAGAAGAACTTGAATGGCTTCTCTACAGTCCTTGGTATTATATATTCCTATATCACCTTACGCTTTAAGGTTTACTCATATGGAAACTCTGTTTCCACTCCCAAATACCTCTAATAATTTTCATTGTTCTCCCTCTGAACCTTTTCTATTTCTATTTTTTTAGATGTGTCCAAAATTGAATGTAATATTCAAGATGAGAATATACTATCAGTTTACTAATGGATATTTTCTACTATCGTATTTGTGGTTTTGATCAGCACTATAAATTGAGTATACACTAAATCTTTACTGGGAGAGATTACAACTAATTCAGAATTAGATAGTTAGACTTAAAATAATATCAGGGCCTGCCTTTTTAATAAGCAATTTTAAACAGTAGTGTTGTAGTCTTAAACTGATTTATTTGGAAAGACCTTGATGCAGAACTAAATAATAAAGCAGAACAAGTTGTTCCTCCAAAACTTTCAGGAGTATAAAACTTTAAAACAACCCCAAAGCAAGGCATCTTTTACCTCATGTTTATTGGGCTTTGTTCACTAATAGAAAGCCTTACCAGCTGAGAAGTTAGGAATCCTTTGTAGTACTTCTCATTAGCCCTGATATTTTTCTATGCACCACCCTATTGGGAAGTAAAACAGACTGTCTGATAGTGTTACTAATGAGACATTATTAGGTTAAAAACCCAGTTATGTTTTTCAAGGTCTCCTCAGTTATATCATTAATAAATACTTTGATTTATTAGGAACATAGGACTGGAAAGGACCTCCTAGTCCCCTGCTATACCAGTCATATAATCTTGTTCATAAACTTATCAAACTCCATCTTTCAAACGAATTGGGTTGTCTTCCCCGGCCCCCGACTGCTCCTATTGGAAGGCTGTTCCAGAATCTCTCCTCTGGTTAGAAACCTTCTTCTAATTTCCAGTCTAAATTAGTACTAGAAGCACTGATGAACTTTAAAATATATTTCAACATTTAAACTGTTTACTTTTTTCACATTACTCAACTTGGACAATGAAACTGACCCACTAGTATCAGTGTCTGGTTCTCATGCACTAGTACAATGTCGCAGTGAGACTTTGAGGAGTGTTGGGGGATTTTTAAATCTAAACAAAGGTGTGTTTTGTTTGTGTGTGTGTGTTTTGTTTTGTTTTTACTTTAATGAAAACACTATTCTATTAAGGTTTTTTTTAATGGGGTCTGGGTACATGCTGCATGGCAGTGTCCTTTTAAGTGCATTAAGATATCTACAAACTATTAGCCTTTCTGAGCATGAAAAAATTGAAAGTGATATTGTGCCTGAAGATTAAGTGTATATTATCACTGAACATAAGCATTTCATAACATGAAAAGAAAAGCTGTTAACCCTATCTGTTTGTCATATGCACACATATATTGTAATCATAAGTATACTGTAATGTTACTTAGGACTTATTCAAGGGCAAGCCTTTACCAGACAATATACTGTACTATGTGCTATACCACCTAATGCTGCATATATATGTAGAGAGGGAGAAAGAACTAATTACAGGGCCTATTACTTCAGCAAATGGAAAAAATGCATAGAGAATAAAATCTATACAATTCTGGTAACATAGAGCCAGTTGCTAGTAACCATCAATGTATATTCTCAAATACTTTAGTTTAAACAGGGATTGACCTTTATATTGGTATACATACATCTTGACAGACTATTCTCACTCTGTTTAACAGTCGAAGTAACTAAAAACAGAGCCATTTTTAGCAGTTTTGCATATGTTAGCTAGTCCTCACTAACAAATTACCCGTTTATATCCAGCGCCTTGTAACATAGCACTGGAAATACAGTTTTAAAATAATGTAGAGATGCAATTAACATATTTAGGTTGTGTATGTGAATAATTAGTATTTAATGCAAGTAGAGAACAGGGAGTATAACAAAATAAATTAAGCCAATCTTAGTCAATACATTTGCTTCTTTATTTTAGAATATACTCTACATCTGGATAAAAAAAAGTTTTAAATAAGCTTCAGTACATGTACAGTAATGGTACCCTTCATCCGTCCAGCAATACAGGGATATAGTTTAGTAAACTGGCTCCGTCCTGGGTAACACATGTAATTTTCACAACAGTTTTGTTATTTTCATTGGCTTATTTTCAGCCTCATATCAGCCAGCTATACAGCCAGCACATACATGTACAAATCATCAGTCTCCTTACTTAGAGGGGAACAATAACTGCTCACCCTGGACAGAACATAAAACGGAATGAACTAATATTGATTAATGTACACCTTTCTCTGTTTGTGCGTTGGTAAAAAAAATAAGAGGACTGCAATTCTAAGAGCATGCAAAGAAATCTTACACATTATATACACGTCTTTTATTGTTATAAAAGTAGTGCAAAACAGGAAAGAAAGAAGTGATGCAGTCTCCACTAGGAGGACGGCCGCCTCCGCCACCACACGCTGTCAGTAACTGGCCTCGGCCACCCTCCGCCATTCATACTAAGCTCCCAGTCTAGGAAACTTGATACACACACGCCGCTTTGCTGCTGCTGCGTAGGCAAAGATCCCCGCCGCCGTGCAGCGCACAGCTGCTCGCACACCCGGGCAGGATGTGCCCGCCATGCGTCACGGTCCCCTCCCCCTCCTGCTTGAACGTCCACCCGCCCCAGCCGCGCACACACACACACACAGGTCTGCCCATCCCCCTGCATCCCTCCTCCACGGTCGCATTCATTCCCCCTCTGGCACGCGCCCCCACCCGCTTCCATTGTCACACACTCGCTCCCCCTCCATGCCCATCCCATGCTCATCCCCTCCATTTGCGCGTGCACACACATGCTCCTCGTCCTCGGACGCGCTCCCCAGAGCCCCTCTTCCCCCCCCCGCAGATAGGGATCCCTTGCTTGGCGGCACCCCCCCCCCTGCCAAGCCCTGCCCTGGCTCAGTGCCCCCAGTTGCTGAAGCCGATTTCCTGCTTGTATCTGTTGGTGAGCACGTTGGCCTTGCGGGTGAGTTTGGAGAGCACCGTGTGGAGTCCGCTCAGGTGATAGTGGAATTGCTTCTCCAGATCCTCCTCCTCCACCGCGGCCTCCGGGAGGCCCCGGCTAATGTCCCCGCTCAGCTTGTCCTTCTTCCGGCTGGCCTCCTCGGCGCCCTGCTGCAGCACCCCCCACTCGATGTCGTTGCGGATGGACTTGAGCAGCAGGTAATGGCTGTACATGTCCCTGCGGGAGAAGAAGGCGCCGGCGTCCCCCGGCGACAACTGGGGGTCCCCTTCCCCGCAGCCGCCCCCCGAGTCCAGCTCCTCCAGCAGCAGCGGCACGTCCCGCAGCAGGCTGGGCACCATCACCGTCTGGTCCATGTTGTTGACGGCCCCGATGAAGCGGTTCATGGCGTTAAAGAGGGAGTGTTTCTGGCTGTAGGAGTCGCAGATCTGCATCATGTTGGCCGATGGGTGGGGTGCAATGCCAGTAATCACCGGGTGCCTGGGGAGTACAAACACAGCAGCCGGTTCCTTCTTCTGCCCCACCAAATCTCCTTGCAAGGGCCACCAGGAGCCAGGCCTTGTATCTCCAAAGCCTTCCCCCGGCTTGCTCGTTGCAACGCTCAGGGGCGGTTTCCTGGAATAGAGAAGGATAGATGGTGTTTAGATGGAGGGCATTTTGCGCCATGCGCTAACCCACAGTCATCAGTACTTCTCCTTCCTACCCATAACCTTCTCCCACAGCTTCACCTTTTTCTCCCCCTAGCCCTCAGCAAACTCCTTCCTCACCCCAGTCCCCTTCAGCTCCCCATTTTAATCCCAACCCCACTCTTGACTTTGCCTCCGATCTTTCCTCCTAACTCCTCTATCCGTGCACCTTCCAACGCCCAGCCCTCCGTTCCCTCTCCCTCGTATCTCCCGACCTCTCTCTGCAAATCTTCTCTGACCTCAACCTCTCTCGGTGGCCCCCTGCCCAGTATCTCGCGGCATCCTCTGTCAGTGCATCACCACCAAAGTCAGCAGCTAACGGAGGAAAGCGAGCTGCTTTTCGATTTCTCATTCAGAAGATGCAAGAGCAACTTCTTCCAGTCCACACCCCACGGCTCAAAGCATGAGGCTGGGGGATGAGGACGGCAAAGGGGGCGCCTCTGATGGCAGAAACACAACTCCTTGCAGCGTGAATAAGTTAAAAGAGCCCCCTATGAGCGTGACCCGGCCACAGATCCATGCAAGCCGCCTTGGGAGCTCCCACTGCCATTCACCCCATCACCCGCTCAGATCAGGGGGACGCCGCAGGCAGCCCACACCCACCAATGTCCTGTAGAATCGAGCCTCACTGCCGGCTCTCTGGATCTGGCTGCTGCTGGTGTCCGGGTGTCCGTGCGTCACTGTGTCCCGCTGCGGCCGGTAGCCCTGCTCCCATTCCAGGTGGTGTATTTATAGCGTGTATGGTAAAATAAGGTGTTCCCAAGTGCCACCCCCTTGCAGTGGAGCAAGATAAAGGCGGCTCTGAGTGACCGCGAGTAACACCGGCTCCTGATACAAGCGACTGGAAGGCGGCTCCGCCTCTCGCCTGACACCCATAAGGGGAGGGCGCAGCGCGCACCCGGAGGCGGAGCCTGCCAGAGCTAGTGGCTGCGGGAGCGAAGACGGGCGGGCGAGGTACCAGCTCCTGCTACAGCGCACCCCACCCATCACTCTACATCCCGGCCGGTGACAGGAAAGGAGCAGCTACCCGGAGGTGCGCAACTCCCCTGCATCAGGGCCGAACTTGGTCCTGTTTCCTCCTGATTGGATTGGTTTGTTATCTATAGCCACATCCATCTATGCCTATGTATAGGACCAGCCGCTCCTGACTCAATCCCGTAGGAGTCAATGTGGAGAGCAGGACACAGCGCGGAGTGGAATGTTGACTCTCTCGCTGAATCACAGTTCTGTATCGGCCGGGTAAGCCATGCAAACAGTGGCAATGTAAGCCCAGGAGGCAGAAACCTCGGGCAACTGTCAGAGAGGTAGTTCCAGTAAGTCTATCAAGCATCCCAGCAGGAGAGGTCTGGCATTCGAAAAAGAAAACTCCCTCTGGTTCCCAGAGGGAACCAATTTAAATAGAGCACAATCCTCCTCCTCCATGCTCACACAGGGATAGAGTGTAACATAACCTTACGCCAGCTGCCACCAACCCACAGGAGGAAACCCCCTAACACAGTCAGCCTGGATGGAATTCCACGCCCAGTCAGCAGGAACACAGCACTCCCCAAACTATCCTAATCTTCCTGCTCTAACAAATCAATCTTACTTCTCCTCAGACCCCTAAAGGCGGAAAATCCACCCACCCCAATCTTCAAATCCCCCCCCCACTCCAGACAAAGATTAGCACACCCAGCCTTTTTTTACGTACACCATTTAGCTACTCTGCAGATAAGCACTTTATATATGCTGGGTGGATGGATAGAGAGCCCCTCTCTAGAGACAATATCGACTTCAGACAGATATGTGATACTGTGCTTTAGCGATACTTGTATACGTTGGTCCAAGAAAGAACTGAATTGTGTAATACAGCAAATCCTCTCCACGCCCAGAGAGACACACTGTTACACCCAGCTTTAAATTGGTTTCCTCCACCCCCCTAAAGCCCAGAGAAAGGGAGACTGTAAAGCGCCCAGCTTTAAACTGCCTTTCGCTCCGCGGACCATAATCCAAAAACAGGGAGACTGGAACAGACCCAGTTTTAAACCTCTTTCCCACTACCAAATATGTATGTTTGCACCTCGGTGTGTGTCTGCAGCAGCAGGTTGTAACGTCCCTGGTGGGACTGTATTTGGCACGGGTGACGATGTGGCACGGCTCTGCTGCATGGTGGGGGAGGGGGATCGCAACGGGTAGGTCTCATATATCGCAGCGAGCGAATAGATGGTTTTGCCCGCCTTAGCTGCATAGCCAGGCACGCCCCAAAGTAACATGCCGGCCCCGCATGCTGCTGCCTTAGAAGGGACTTTACAGCGAATGCGATTTCTTCGCATTGCGATCTAAAGGGAGAGCGAATCAGCAGTCCCGCGGCGTGCATACACCAACTCTTTTCCGGTTCTGATGCGCAGCCGGCGCTCTGACCCCAAGGCATGCGGAGGGGGGAATTAGCCGGGGAGGACACGGTTTACTCATGCCGGGCAGGAATGTAGTCCTTGTTAAACCGGTCTCACTCGACCTGCTGTCGGCCTTCGCCCAACAGAAGCGACGGCCGAGAGGCGCTCTGCCCAGCTGTGCCCTAAGCGGACTGGCTGACATTGGCATGCTGGTCAGGGAGCACTGCCCAGCAGCGAGGGCAGAAGGCAGAGCATTACAAAGCGCCGCTGTGCACACCGAGACCAGGCCTCCCTCCCGCCTGATACAACATATTGCCCAGCTCCTGCCTCCCTTCCCACATCAAGCCCCTTGCTGTAGCAGCAGCGCTGCACATTTGCAGCCAATCTGTCCAGCAGTAGCTCGGCTTCCTTTGCGTTGTCTTCTCCCAGCTGGGCAGACTCGCCGCTGCGCTGCCCCAGCCGCGGCTGCAACCAGAGCAGGCTACACCGCGAGCACGTGCACTGCCCTTCCCCCAGCCCGGCTGCAGCAGGCGCCGCTGGAGGAAGGGCATCTTAGGCCAGGCGCGCGACACGCAGCCCAATCCTCCCCCCACCCCCAGGAAAGGAGCGGTCGGGCAACAGGCCCCGCCCTATCTGTCTCCGTGCCCGCGTCCGGCGAGTTAGCGGGCTGCGCCGGGCCCGGGATCACCCCACAGCCTCACCTCCAGCCTCAGCCAATCGGCTCGCGTTCCAGTAGCCAGGCTCCGCCGGCATATGCTAATGAGCATGATTCGGCGGTAGCCAATCAGAAACAACACCCCGCTCCCTGTCTCTCTCTGGCGACCGTGGTAACAGAGGCGGCCGCTGAAGGGACACGTGGGACAGAGGGAGATTGCCGTGGAGCGTTACCTTGACAACTGATCAACCACAACACGGGGCGGGGGCCAATAGTGGGCATCGATTCCTGCCCCGCGCGGACCCGGCGTAATGCCTCAGCCGCTGTGTCACAGACGTCCCGGCATGGGAGAGTTCAACGCCTTGGATCGCAGGGAGACTGGTCCCGCCCTTGTACTGCAAACAAACCCTGCGTTTCTGCAAAGTCAGGAGCACGCCTAATGCATGCACAGATAGTGCGCACAGGATCACTCCTAAGGCACACACACACCTAATGGACACCTGGCCACAGGCAGAAAAGAAGCACAGCTAACTAAAGCACTTGCAGGGAATGCACACCCAGGAAAACAGCTGCCAAATTAAACCAAGACATTTTCCTCTCCGACTCCTAGCCAACGTACAAAAGCCACCATGAACTTTCTGGTGCCACCTCAACCACAGCAACAAATGGTCTGTCCACTGCAAGGAAGCACTAGCAAGTCAAAAACTATTTTTTTCTGGACATGAGCCTACGCCTTGTAATAGTTATATTCAAGTTACTGGGAAGAACAGATGAAAAACGACAAGCTAGCATGCAAGTCACACACTAAAACTAACAAGTCAAAAACTAATTTTTCTGGACATGAGCCCACACCTTGTAACATTCATATTCAAGTTACTGGGAAGAACAGATGAAAAGCATCAAGCTAGCATACTACCATACTACCTTATGCCACTGTGAAATGCACAAAGCTAAGGCAGAGTTATCAAACACAGAATGAGTGACCACAGACTGTAGTGAAAATCGAGAGACACAAAGCACAGTGCAAACTCGGGGCAGAATGGCTGTGCAGCCTGTGAGACAGAGGAGAGACTGAAATTCAACCTACATATGCATATATACATTTGGGGTTTGGGGGTGAAGATGATGTGAGACACAGAAAAACCAGTCAGTCAGAAAGAACATGATTTCAACAATACAGTGAAATATATCTAATCAACATGAGTAGCAGCAAAGCACTCACACCCATCATTCCAGCTGAACCTGCTGCTATTCCCTGTGCTGCTGGTGGTTGCCTGCATCAGAACTTCCATACTGAGTCAGACCAATGGTCCATCTAGTCCAGTATCCTGTCTTCTGACAGTGTACAAAACAGGACAGTTGAAGTGATCCACCTCTGTCTCTCCCTCTTAGCTTTTGGCAGTCAGAGGTTTAGGGTCACCCCCAAGCATGGTTTTGCCTCCTTGACCATTCTGGCTAATAGCCACTCATGGACCTATCCTCCATGAAATTATCTATTTTTTTTAACCCAGTTATACTTTTGGACGTCACAACATCCCATGGCAATGAGTTCCAGAGGTTAATTGTGCACTGGGTGAAAAAGTACTTCCTCTTGTTTGTTTTAAAGAAATGGTCGGTTTTCACAATGGAGAGAGGTAAACGCTACTGTTCAATGTATTCATTAATGATCTGGAAAAGGGAATGAACAGTGAAGTGGCAAAGTTTGTAGATGATATACAGTTATTCAAGGTTGTTAAGTCCAAAACTGACTGTGAAGAGTTACAGAGGGATCTCACAAAGTTGGGTGACTGGGCAACAAAATGGAAGATGAAATGCAACATAATGCATTTATATATATCTTGTATAGTCTGCCTGAAACTTAAATATGGTTAGCTAATTTCATATTTCTTCAGAATATGTAGGCATGTGTCCAACCCCTTGACTTGGGATAAATCCATATAGAGGCCAAACTTCACTGGGTAAAACAAACTGCTTCATTTTTTTCTACTTCCTTATATCTTGATCAATTTAATAAACAGTATAAACAGCCTCTTGCAGATATGCTGTATATCATTAACATGAGCCTTGCTACATTTGATTATTGCAGCACTCCTGCATCAGAATGAAATAAGGAAGCATATGTTTATGACTTTAATAACATGCAATTATGAAATAGCTATAGGTATAGATATTGTATGTGTGTGCAATTCTTTCTTTCCTGCTGTTGGCAGAAGGTGATCCCATGCATTTGTGGCACAAAGTTTAATCCTCAGTACCATTTGTTTATTCTTTAGGGCAGTGGTTCTCAAACTTTTGTACTGGTGACCCCTTTCACATAGCAAGCTTCTGAGTGCGACCCCCCCCCCTTATAAATTAAGAACATTTTTTATATATTTCACACCAATATAAATGCTGGAGGCAAAGCAGGGTTTGGGGTGGAGGCTGACAGCTCGCGACCCCCCATGTAATAACCTCACGACCCCCAGAGGGGTCCCGACCCCCAGTTTGAGAACTCCGGCTTTAGGGTGAGACCAGTGTTATGGCTATGCACTGCATTGAAATACGGGAAACCCAGCTTGTTCCTGTCCTTATCTCACTCCTCAGTCCAGCAAGGGCTGTGAGCAATGAGGAAGCTCATGCATTCAGAATCTGGTGGTGCAGGTGTGCCTAACATCACTGTATAGCATAGACTCTTGGATAGATAAGGAACATACTGAAAGGGAGGGTGCAAAGGGAATCCTGTCCAAACCTCCTCAACGAGAAGGAGAATTCCTGTCATACAAGGTCTTGATGCGGGGATTAAAATGAAGGTATCTCAAAACTCTCTGAAGATGCAAAGGACGCCAGAAGACAGAATAAATTCAATGTCTTGGTCATATCATCTTGTACTCGGAGCTAAAAAAAATTCTGAAGTTAAGCTTAGTCCGGTTTGTTAGTACTACAAGTTGCACAGCATCACATGTAAGGTGCCAAGAAAGTCTCTTAATTCTCACTGAAGTCAATGGG